TAATTATTTGATAATATCTTAAATATTAAAATATATATTTCAATCACTTATTCATCTGTAATTCGTTTAAAAGATTTCAACTTAATAATTTTCGCGTTATGCGCCAATTGTTGATAGTCATATTCGAAAAAAAAAAGTTAAAAAGAAAGAAAAAGTTAACTTTCAGAAAATGTAAAAGAGAAAAAAAGAAAACGGAAATCGTTGAAAACTTATCGACCTGAATATTTGAAAACATTTATTTGTTTTATAGCACTATTTATATCATTATTTTTAAATCAACTTGTGATTTGTCTAGCTCATGATGTTACTAGTAGGTTTGGATTTAAATGATTTGATTAATTTATTCAAAATTGTTAAATCCTATAACATTTTATCAGAAATTGATAAACATTCATAATAACTGATAGACTGATTGAAATGATTTTAATTATATTCTTTAAATTATTTTAGTAATTGAAATTATTCATAATTGAAATAATGAATAGTTTCAATTGTTGAAGTAATTTCAATTACATAGCATAAATTTTGAATTTCAAAATTATTACAGTTAAATCAGTCTTTTCAGAGATGCCTTACCGGACTTGGTATTTGCAATAATACCGCAGCAAGAATGGGCTTTAGCTGTCGGAGATATGCTAACCGGGATCGCGGGTGTTCTTGCACTCGGATTTATTATTGTGTTTCATCGATATCGATTTATCGTTTTACGTCGACTGATATTCACTGTAACTGTACTGTATACATTTCGGGCTGTTTGCTTAGCTGTTACGCATATACCGGCAAGTTACGATAATAATTACCAGTAAGCTTATTAACTCTTAATTTATTACTTTATTTTTGAGTATTTACTACACCCTGCAATTATACTGTAATTACTTTAAAAAGAAGCAGTAGATTGTATAGAAGATTCATGAAACTAATTGTTCACATTGTACTGATTTTGGAAATTCAGTAAATTCAAAATTTACCAAAAATAAATCCTGCCAGCTTCTTCACTTCCTTAATTTTATAAATTCCATTTTGTTGCTTCATATCATTCACAAATTGCTAATAATTAATGCTCAATACTAATGAGTTAATTGTGCATTATATAAATGATTTGCTTCGGTGAGCTGCAATATTGACGACTGCATGCCTCCTAAAATCATTTGTAACATTTTTTTTTTTTTCATTTCTAATCTTTTTTTCACTAACAAAGATTTTGTATCATAAATTCCTATCACTACTTAAAATTTTGAATTTTGCAGTAAATGTGTAAAACCAAATCATCAAGCAACAATATTGAGTGTTCTGAGACGATTTGCACAACACTCTTTCAAGGTTTCAATTTTTTTCAATTGGCATTGCAAAATTAAATTTTTTAATTGAAATTTCAAAATTAAAATGAAATTTCAATTTCTCAAAAATTGGACAGGAAATAAATAGCTGACTGAAGCAGTAATTTTTACTTCCACGATAATAAAATTTAAAATTTTTTAATGAGCTCTTTTTCTGGCTATTTGTTAGCTATGCTAGATTTACAAAATTTTCGCTTATGACACTTTTTCCTGATTTTTCTATCTCAATAGTTTTCCTTTTTTTGCTTGGCTTTTCTTTCTTCGATTCTGAATTCTGAACGACTCTGAACTCGGAATTCTCTGGACCTCATTTGACTCTGAACTCTGAATCTTACTTGACTCTGAACTCTGAAGTCTGAGCTTTACTTCTTATTGGTATTGATTAACTAGTACTGGATATCAAAATAATTATAGAGTAAAATCATTCTCGTTTTTTTAGCATTTATTTTAGATTTTGTTATAAATAATGTTGAGTCATAAAATAACCTTCAAGCTCTCCTTCTTTCAGAGAGAAAAAAATAAAGCAAAGGATTAAAATATTCTTAACCATCATTTGATTTAAATTTACAATATAACTCATTTCAATTAGCTCAATATTAATTAATCGATTAATTAGTTTCTCGAATATTTTTGATGTATAGGATGAATTATTCATTAATTGCAAAAGAAAAATCCATCTTTATCTGTAAACATTTTTATGGGAAAATATTTTTAAAAAAAACCTTATTTATAAAGGGGCAGTCATGAAATTATTGAAATTCCTTCTTATGATCGTTCAAAAAATAGTGAGTATTTGCAAAATTTTACAATTTTACAACATTTAGAATTCTAATTTTTTTCAGCTTCCAAAATTTGAAATCATTTATTAGCTTTAGGAAAAAATGCAGTTAAAAATTTTTTGATAAGAAAATGAAAACTTTATCAAACAAAATTCTTTTTTTCATTATAGTCTGAAGTTTCATAAAATAATTGTGACATTTAAATGCATAAGAATTTTCGAATTTTTTTTTTTGAATGAAGTCATGACGAAAAAATGCAAAATGCTTTAGCTGGGCCTACAAATCAATGAAAATGGTAAGCTGATCTGTGGTGATCTTCTCTTTTCCGGACATACAATATTTGTTTCCACAACAACATTCTATTTCAATCACTATTCACCACATTCCATTTGGCCGTTAAGGTTTATTATAATTCAGGAAATTTTAAAATTTATTTGAAGAAATTTCAAAATCTCAAAGGGATCGAGATTTAATTTAATTTTTACTCAAACTTTAAATTGAAATTCTTTTTTGAACCATTGAATGTTAAAAGCTTTTTCATTGTTCAGATGGTGCTTAATATTGATGTGCATTGGAGGTATGATATGCTTATCAATATCACGAACACATTATAGCGTTGATGTGTTAATTGCTTACTGGTTATCCAGTTTCCTTTTCAGGTTAAAAAAAAAAAAAAACTTTTCATCGTCTAGTATTTTAATTTAAAAATTTCGGAAATTTTGTTGAAAATTCAAAAGGATAAAGAAACATTTATGTTTTATTTCTCGGATATGGATTAGAATTTCTCAGAGGTCAAATTTGATAGCGAACTCATTTTCTGATTTTTTTTTCGAATAATTTGAACTGAACTAAATTTAAATATTTGCTATATGTTAAAATAACATGTAATTCTCTTCCCACCCTTACTAAATTTTATTAATGTTAATGTGAATATCAAAACTTGTAAATGTAAAAAAAAATTTTTATTTCAGCCTTTATCATTCATTCATTCTGTTACCGCATCAAATACGTATCCGAACACGTGCCTATCGTCGTTTGCTACTATTTTGGACGATGTACGAATTGGAAGTGAATGTACCGTCGGGACGTTTACGAAATGAAATAGAATGGCCATTACGGTGGCCGAAATGTCTGAAACAATGTGTGAGCAATTGGAATCGACGAGATGTGGAAACGATAGCTGGTTCTATTGCAGAGAAATTAGATGCGCATCGTATCAAGACACATTTGTAGTAAAACACTTACGTGAGTTACTATTTTCAAAAGTAAAAAAAAATAAAATATCACTGTTAAATGTGAAGTTCACAATTTATGACAGTATGATAACAATTGAGTGAGAATATTACTGTTTTAGAATTCACTGTTAAATGTGACATTTACAATTTATGACAGTATGATAACAATTGAGTGAGAATATTACTGTTCTAGAAGTTACTGTTAAATTTTTGACGTTTACAATTTATGACACTATGATAACAGTTGAATTAGAATATTACTGTTTTAGAAACTTTTAGTTTAAATCATTACTAACTGATGTGTTTGGATGAAATTAATTGATGTTAGTTTAATTAATGAATAGATAGAAAAAAGAATACAGTATTTTAATTCTGTTTAAGTTTGATAAAATTGATTTTTGATACAATTACTCGTTCATAAAAAATATTGAAAAAGCATTCTTCGATGGATAAGTAAGCTAATCAAATACAATATCACTATTTACTATTATCAGATTTTTTTTAATCATTGCAGTAAATAGCCAAGCATGCTAGTCCAGTATTTTTTTCTGGATAAGAAATAAATTAGAATAATTCGATGGGTTGTGCTTATTGATTCGGACAGTCAAGAATTGCTTCAAGTTGTAAGCCGATAAATTTTGGCTTATTCGAGATAAGCAATTCCTTTGGCGCTTCAAATTCAACCTACAACAGTAATTAGGATTAGGTTAGATGGAAAATTTTAGAAATAATTTCCGAAAATTACAAATTACTGTGATGGTAACTTTAAATGATTCAAATTATGATAAAGGAAAACATTACGATGAATGAGTAATGGCGAATTCCGTTGGCATCCGGTTTAACTGCTGGAAGTTCAATTTGATGGAATGTTTCTGTAATGTTTTTGAATGTATTGTAAATAATTTAATAATACAAGGATGGATGGTTTTTCGTAATCTTTTTTGTATTTTTTAAAATTTATTTAATTTTTTTTTTTGATGTTCAACTTATTTCATATAGTTTTTGAGATATTTTGAACAGGAACACTCGTAGAATTTACCAAATTTCGACGATTCATTCAAATCAGTAATTGGATCATCAGTATTTGTACGTGTTATTTTAAGCTTATTGTATTGAGCTGCAGTATCATTAATCATTTCCACTTTATTTCTAGAAAAGACGAAGGTTGCATTTATAATTAATTTACAGATAATTAATAATTGTTCATCACTAACAACACATAATCTAAATATTTTGTATTGTTGTCCTAAATTTTTTGTAAATAAAGCTTCGCATAATGCATTAATAGTTTGTGCAGTGAAATGAATAACGAAAAAGATAACCGAGAATTTGGAGCAATCAATCTTTCAATGTGATCGATAATATCAAAATCGCAGAAAAGTCGTAATTTATTGAGTATATTCTTTGCAAACTGAAAAATTGTTTGTCAGAATAGAGAATTACTGCTTTATCACTCATTTTCGTTTTTATAATTCTTTTATCCGATTTGATTTTATTCAACTATTCCATTTTCTTGAAGTATTTTAAAATGAAACTACCGTGTAACGTTGATTATCATTGCCGCACCAGAATTTGATTGCCCATGCTGCTGATTCTGCTACTGTCCACTTCTCATTTTTCTCGATGGTGGAAGAATGCTAAAAAGCTAAGGTATTAAATCTTATTCAAATCTTACTATGTAATTATGAGTCAATATTGCAATAATCCGTATTAAATTATTCATCTATGAAATCACAAAAAAAGAAAAAAAAATTCTTTGATTTTTGATAATAAACTCTTATTGGAACATTTGGCAAAAGATTATATGTAGTCTGAAAGCTACAAAGCGAGACAAATTATGCCCATTCAACTAAACAATCATTGAAATCCTGTCAAATTTAATTAATTATTTGTGTCCGTTCTATTTTATGCAAAGCGAATATTGCTTTATGAAAATAATATTTTAAACTGGGTAAAATTTTGCAATTTTAATCGAAAAACAAACCTCGTAAAGAAAAAGAGAAATGAAGAATTCGAAGCTTAAATCACTGATAACAACAAAGCTACGTTGCTTGATTACTTCATTGAACTTATTCAAGGATTGCTATAATGATAAAAATTTAGCAATCTTTGATTTCAAATTGATAAGTTGAATTTTGTTATGGAAGTGAAAATAATAGTTAATTTAACCTTTACGACATATTTTGCCTTATCATTCTCCAAATTACACACAGCAACATTAATAGCAAATGGTGCACTTTCCGGTTGTGCAGCTAATATGCAAAGTTGTTCGATGATTGCTTTACGCATATTCCACATTTCCAATGCATTTGCTGCTGCTAATGCACTAATAATCTGAAAAAAAATAGGGACAATTAACAAATTTAATTTAAAATTTTAAATTAAAAATTTGAAATTTAAGCTAAATTTAAAAATGGAAGGAGAAAAAAGTTGTAATTTTTCTAAAATTTTACTCGATTTAGTAGTATTTCGGCACATCCATTTGCAAATGAAACTGCAATTGCTAAACCGATTGTATCGAAGCATGGCTGTTTTTTTTTTAAATCGTCAAGCTCAATCACTTTTTTCTTTTCTAAATGGTTTTCTAAAGGGAATTAAATATGGTGGAATTTAATAAATTTTTAAAATTCTAATTTTATTTTCAAGAAAATATGACAATTTGAATAATTGGTGTCAAAAAATAGGTTCTATCAGGTAATGTGATAACGATGAAATTTCCTACTGGATTTTGTCTGGGTAAGGAAGGAAAAGAAATTTAAATTGCAATTTTAGAAGTTTAAAATGAAGCTAATTTTAATTCTCCTCAACTACATACTTGCAATATATTCATTTCATTACATCCAAAGCCTTTGGAAAACTTCTAAAATTGAATTAAAGCGAGTAATTCGTTATTTGATTCAAATAGTTTCAAATTGTAAAAAATTCGACAAAAAGAAAAAATGAATACCACCAATAAGCATTCGCTTCAAAAAATCAGACGTTGCAATCATTTGCTCATCATTAATTACAAACTCAGTATCATCCAATTTCAGGATTCGTTTATTGCTCCGCGTTGCTATGTTAATTAGCTGGAAGCAAAAAAAAAAAATTTTTTTTGCTGAAATTTTTTCTCTCAAAAAGGAAACTATGAATGAAAAGTAATTGTGAAATTATTTGTTTCAAATTTTTTCAAAAATTTTCAAATTTTAAGCTAATTTATTTTCCCATTCTAACATCTACAGATTTCCAGATATGAAAAATTTCGCAAAATTAGCAAAACCTTTGGATTGCTGATGAAAATGCATTTACGACCTTTGCTATATTTCGATGATGCCATTACGAAAGTTTTGGAGCAAACTCTTAGCAATGAACTAATTGGCTAATTTCATTTCAATTTATTACTCTCACAAAATTAAAATGCTTGAATTTAAAGCAGTGAGGTGTGAAATTTGCATAGCGCGTCAAATTTGTGAATTGTTCGCTGCATTTCGTTGTTTACGTTTACGTACGTGTGCAGTGATGAGGCGTGGTAGTGCGAAATGATGGATTTTGAGATTTCCCAATAAATCTTGCTTCATTAAATTTAATCAATAGTAAAGAATCTGTTTATGATTTATCATTTCTATGAATCAGCTTCTTTTTTAACTTGCAACAATTGAAATTTCAAATTTTTGTGCGCTTAGGATTTGTATACTGAATAGATTGCATTTACGGAATCTTTTCTCCCACTCTCTTTTTTTGGCAGATCTGTGAACATTTCTCAAAATTTTTCTTCAATCAGCATCTTTCAGGGAAGCCTTCAATGGCAAAGATGCTCTGGATTTAATGACTGAAGAATTTGGTCTGTTAAATATTCATCATCAATAATAATACTTTATATTGAGATATGGATAAGTTAAATGAAGTGGTTTAATGGTTAACGGAATATGCTGTTCGAATGTGCACATAAGATATGCAAAAATGTTATCAATGACAAAGAAACATACGGTAGCGAATGAAACCATTTCGTATTTTTGTAACTTTTTAGCTTTAAATTTTAAAGGAATGTTTCAGGTAGCAAAATGGAGTTCCTATTTGGTCGAAAAAAAACTCCCGCCGAAATGTTGCGGCAAAACCAAAGAGCATTAAATAAAGCAATGCGTGAATTGGACCGAGAACGATCACGTCTCGAAATGCAAGAGAAAAAGATTATCGCTGATATTAAGAAGATGGCGAAAATGAATCAAATGGTAAGAAATGCGTTTAAATTTTCCATCACATACTTTTAAAATTTGACAACTATAAAGGCCTGAAAATCACTCTAGAAGGCTCTCTCCTCAGATCTTTTAAGATATGTACTACTAACAAAGTTCAATTTTTAATGTTTAAATTCCATAGTTAACTAAAGACAGTAATTGTTATACTAAGCGACGAGAAAGAATTGGGTAGTAAGAATAGTGTCACTTGTTGAATGTGCTTTTAATGGCTGATACTTTGTTACATATTCATAAAAATTTTATATGCTTTTATAGGACTCAGTGAAAGTTATGGCAAAAGATCTTGTCCGAACCCGTCGACATGTCAAAAAATTCATCATGATGAAAGCGAATATACAGGCAGTCTCATTGAGGGTATCTATCCCATTATTCGTTTGTTTTTTATAATAATCGTTTTTGTTCTAATTACCTTACCTGTAGGTACAAAGTAAAAACCAATCTACATTCTTTATGTTTTAAAACTTTAAATGATATTTATTTTATCTCCGAAATGCAAAGTGAAATAGCGCGTGTTATACTAAATTATTTTTGATCAAATTGTTTGTAGATACTGCTAATGGTGAAGTTGAGTGTGATTGTTTTGAGAGTTCGATACTTCTAAACTTTATAGTCTACGTCATTTCATTCTATTTTAATATTCTTAAACACCTTAAATGGATTACATCATGATATTGAAAATAAATAGTTTGCAGGTGCAAACTTTGAAAAGTCAAGATGCAATGGCGCAAGCAATGAGAGGGGTAACGCGAGCAATGCAAAACATGAATCGGCAGCTAAATTTGCCCCAGATCCAGAAAATAATGATGGAATTTGAAAAGCAATCAGAAATTATGGATATGAAAGAAGAGATGATGGGCGAGGCAGTCGATGATGCCATTGCAGATGAGGGTGATGAGGAGGAAACGGAAACAATTGTTGCTCAGGTATAAATTTTGCAATTTTTCCTGAATTCTCATTGTTTTAATTAGGTATACAAGGTCAATTTTCTTTTCTCTAATTGAAGTTTAAAATAGGAGTTTAAAACTGTCGAAGAGACGCATGAGAAATCATTATGCTTGGTGTTCTTATAGTAGTCGTTGCACAAATTATTAAATTTTGTAACTTTTGAGGAATTCTTACAGATACTGCTTTACTTATATATTTAAGTAAAGTGTATATTTGGACTCTATATTTGAGTCTTTGTTTTTATAACTGTAACGGAAACATTTGATAAGGCCATTTAGTGTTTTACTACATTTCCGTTTTAATGAGTAAGGGTAATAATTCGGATACTTTTGTAAAGTCTTTTTTATTAACTTACACTTCACCTTCGAAAGGTGTTACAGTTACTCTATTGTTGGTTATCTTGATTTTTCTCGCAAGACCAAGAAAAAGTTTTTTCTTTTTCGTGCATAAATTTATTAGTCTCATGGCTATTTATAACATGCTATCATAAATAATGAAATGATTTCCATCAATGTTTACATTTTTTCCAGGTGCTAGATGAGTTAGGAATCCAGATGAATGAGGAACTCTCTGCAATACCTACAGCACAGAGTTCATTGAAGCAAGCTGACCAAAGCCGGCAACCACAAACAGTGTTGTCAGATGCTGATGCTGATCTACAAGCTAGGCTAGAAAATCTACGTCGAGAATGAATCGGATTAACGTTCTGAAATTTCACATTGTTTCCTTTGTACCAAATTTTTATCATTACGTTCTGAAAACTACCAAGTATTTCAAAATTGGATCATATCTTGCTTTTAATTTCTTTGTTTCCATTTCTTAAGAAAACGAAAAACTGAAGTCAGAAATATTCTCGTTAAGAGTGATAATTCGATTTAAAATTGCCCAAATTCTCTTTTCTGGAAGTGTGAACTGCATTTATGTGATATTTATGTGATAGAGATTAAGAAATATACCCATCCAGTGGAATAAGGACTGTTCCTAACTGAAATTCACACGTTTTAAAGAACTAATTTTTAATGCATTGGGATTAAATAATGAGAAACGAAAAGAAAATCAAAAAAAATCAGCATTCTGGGGTGGGCAGAAGTTTTTGATTTTAATTCCGAAACAGTTAGAAAATTTGCCAATGGACACTTTTATTTGGAGATCTCCAAAAAAATTTGAAATAAATGCCAGATTAAATCTTGGAAAATGAATAGTGTTCTTATTTTCTGCTGTCGATAATTTGTTGTATTATATAAGTTTTTTTTTAATATGCTTGCATCAAGTGATAATCATAGCTTCACTTTAAAATGTTTTTCTTCGATTATTAATTACATGTCATAACAGAGACATTTTCTCACTGTAAGTGTTTTAATATTTCCCCCATGCAGCTGACTTGAAAATACAATAGTCAGTTTTAGCAACGGATGGTTTTCATCATACAACTCCTCTATTATCAGCAAGATTTTTCTTATGAAAGCAAAGTATTTGAGAATTTGATCCTAAAATTTCCTAAATTCATTTTAACATAACGATAACTAAATTATTTGCTCAGTATCATTTCTTTGTAGCAATTCCCTTTTCCCTGTAATACTGCCGGTAGCGTTCAGTTCATTTTGCAGTACATTGCGTGGCAAATCACGGCATATTATCGATATGCGACGACTTCGTACAACCGGCGTTCCCATGAAATAAGATTCAGCTTTGCCAAGCACTTCGTGGTAAAATTCGTAACGACTAAATTCTCTGGAAATTTTGCCCGATTTAACAAACTAATTACTATTACAATTGCAAACAATGATAAAGTGCATTCTTAACAACTAGAAAGTCCTCTTGAGTTATTAACTGTACTGTATTCTCGATATAATCGGGAAGATGATGTCAATCATAGAAATTATTTCACTCAGTCATCACTCCAAACTACAGTGAAATGTTAGGCTATTAGGCATGTTTCGTAGAAAATGACTTAGAATTTATTCTAAAACACAAACCTTATTTTGAAAGATTCTAGATAGCTAGAATATGAAAAGAGTAATTTATTTCTAAAAACATAATTAGAAAAAAAAGAATGGAGAAAAAAATCTACCCCATTCTATAAAGGCATCGTCGTTGCAGGAATAAATCAACAATGAGCTGATTTTTTTGCTCCTTATGTCGTAAACGCATCACAGCATCCGATAACAAGGAAAGACCAGTGATAACATCACCACAATACTGGAAAAGAGATCATTAGTTCGACAACTTTTCATTTTCTACCCGAAAAAAGATAGAAAAAATGTATCTTACCAAATAATGCTTTGTCAGGTATTTTGATAATAACAAAAATAAATTTGAAAAAGTAATACCCTGACACTGTCAATGTGTGGTTTAATAACACCATCTTCGTGTAAATCGAGGATATGTACAAATAAAAGTTGCTTATCTTCTTCTTTGAATGAATGTTTTCGAATTCGATCTATAATAGTTTCATTCTCCTTCCTCCATCTTAGCTGCTCTCGTTCACGATAAAGATGAATAGCCTGAATTTTCGAAATTAAATCTAAATATGACGATAATCTTACATGCGAATTTCATTTAATGAGCTCAAATTTTGATAACTACAGCGTTTATGTAGAAGCTAAAGAACTGAAGCATTTATGACTTACTAAGGACTAAATATGACGTGGAACAATCTGTAGATTATTGATGCCGTAATGTTGAAGTGTACAGGAATTGAGAGTTTGATGTTCATAAAGAAAACTTATAAATTATGATGCTAATAGCATTCATCAGCAATTTCATTAACTTTAGATAACCATTCTTTCAATTTCTAAAAAATTGGACGGAGAAATAAAATAATTTAATTGGCTTGAGATTTGGAACCAGACTATTAACTCAAATGCAAATTCAACCCGAAAAATCGATGTTAGCTTAAAATTTGAAAGAAAAAAAAAGAGAAGCATTACATCATCCCAATGTGATTTTTCATAACGCAATCGTTTCATATGTGGATTAATTTCATCCAAAAGTGATGCTTCTTCCTGTTCCGTAACAAAATTGGGAATAACCGTACAACATTCCAACAATGCATTCTTCATCTCTTTTGGCCATAAAGCATCATTATGGAAATGAACAAAATTGATTGCCAAACGCCGAAAAATGGATAATGGCA